TTCAAGATTGTATATTTTATAATAGCAGAAACCTCTTTCTGACCAATTTTTCTGCCAATTATAGTTACAAATATGGTCAATTTCTTTGTGTGAGCACTATCAATGACTTGCAAATCCAAAATTCTGGTCATAAGATAAACAAAGAGACCAGGATGTGTATATGATATTTGGCCCTTTTAAGGTGTTTGCCAATAGGAATATAACAGCTGAGAGGCTTAGAAGCTAAGAAATTTGGAAGTTGCAAAAAAATAAGGAAGGCCCCTGGTAAATACGACAGGTTGAAACCTCCCTACTTACATCCTGGAAAGGTGCCCCCAAAATAGAAGAAATCCAATATGGTACAAATTAATACATATTTTTGTCTCTAAAGAGCCTCAAATTACCCCAATTTTTTAAAAATGTGATTCTCTTAAACTGAATTAAAAATATGTGAGTTACAAAAGTTTAACAACTCACCAATTTTTTGGAGGAAAAAGAAGTAATGAAAACAGACATAATAGAATTCGAAATACAGGTGGGATCATGTAAATAGTTGAACAGAATCAAGTGAAATTCTAAGACTGAAAAATAGAATAAGTGAAATTAGGGACTCAATGGATGATTTAATATTTACTTAGACATACCTGAATAGAGAATTAATGAACTGGAAARTACATCAGAAAAAAATATCCAGACTGAAATATAGGGAAAAAAAGAATTAAAAAACAGAGAGGGAAAAAAATGCAAAGAAGACATGTGGGACATGTTATTTGTACAATTAAAAAATAAGAAAGTAGGAAAGATAAAATAACAGAAGCAAAGTTTGAGGAGATAATGGCTGAAATTTTCCACTGATGAAAGGCATTTAGTCAGAGATATGAGAACTGGAAGCAGAATAAGTTAAAAGGAAATCACATCTAGAGTTCAGTACTTTTCCAGAAGTGCTATAACCACTTGCATATGATCCGCTCTTCTGTAGGCAACAATTATAAACTATAGGCAACATATTTTTAAATTATTTGAAATCCTTATAGAGTGACCAAAATAAGCAGAAACTGCAATGGTCAATCTTTGAAAGAAGCAAACAAAATTGGATGAAGTCTACATTGATACAGCTTTTACCTCTGAGGGTATGCTCTGGTTCAGATGACCCGGATGGCTAACATTAAACAGAAAGGCATGGTCTTATTTGTTTGAAGTATCAGCAGTAGGATATGGTAACTAGAGATTGAGAGGGAACTCTCAGGAAAAGGATTCTCAGAAGGATAACCCCTAAATCTGCACAATTTCTCCTAAAATCCTTGACTGATACCTGGATAGCACGTGGGCAAGAGAGAGTTCAAGGAGCCCACTTGGAAGCCATAGCTAGGGGAGATATGAAAGTCAAATAATGATTTAAGTTGCTGGTCACCATTGGGGTGAGAGATTTTGGACTTGGAATTCTGCCAAGTTACAGGGGCTTGATATACACTGTGGTCTTTCCACTTAAACTCTAGATAGATTATACTTAGGACAACAATGATATTCCAGGTCTAAGGGCAAATCCAAAGCAGATCTTTCCCCAAAAAACCAAACTTCCACAAATCAAGGTGATTTTTTTTTATTAATTTACCAGCCTGACAGATAAAAACAGCAGAATAAAGGGCCTTTACAATAAATCATTCCAATTTTCTAGTATATATAATTTGAAAAATCTCTAGACATGTCAAATAACAGACACAGAAAAGTATGACTATAATAAGGAGAAATAAATCAACATAAACTGATCCTGAGCTAACTCAGATATTGGTATTAGCAGAGAAGTTTTTAAAGGCAACTATATTATTTTTATGGCCAAAAATTTAAAGGAAACCTGATTGTTATAAATGAACAAAGGGTGAATCTGAAAGGACACATAGAAACTATAAAAAAGGAAAAGAACTGAAATTATAATGTCTGAAATGCTAAATTCAGTGGGTAGGCTAATAGGAGATAAGAGATGGCAGAAGAAATGATCAATGAACTTTAAACAGAACAATTTTAATTATACAACCCAAAGTACAATAAAAAAAATTTTAAAGATAACATATCATAAGTAATATGTGGAATATATGAAGAAGTTAATAAATACATAACAGTGATCCCACAGGAAAAAATAATTTTAAGGATAACTATTTAAGGAAATGATGGTTGAAAAATTCCCAAACTTAGTATGAAACATCAACTTATATACCCAAGAGACTCAACAAACACCAATTAGGAGACATAGAAAACTACACTTAGGCAACATACTCAAACTATAGACCAAAGGCAAAAGAAAATCTTAAAAACAGAGAAAAGAAGTCTTAACATAACCAGTGAAGAGATAGGATGACTGATTCTCAAAGAAACAAAGAAAGCCAGAAGACACTGCAGTGCTATCTTCAAAGTAATAGCTGCTAAACTAGAATACTAAACTCAGTGAAAATACCATTTAAAAATAAATCTGCATACTTCTCAAACAACCAAAAATGGAGAGACTGAATCATTAGCTGAAACTCATCAAAGAAAATACTTCAGGGAGTTCCTCACAAGAAGGAAATTAATCCCAGATGGAGACATCGAAATGAAGGAGAAATGAACAGTAAATATGTGAGCAAACTTTTAAAATACTGACTTCAGAAATAATAACTCTGTATTGTAGAGTTTAAAATACATGTACAATTTTTAAGTGGCAAACATAACACAAAAGGCAATGGTTGTTACATAATGTTGTCTGTCTTAGGACTAATTAGGAATATGCTGTGATCTGAATGGTTATCCCCTCAAAAAAAAAAAAAAAATCCATGTGTAAATCCTAACCTCAAGGAGATGGTACTAGAAGAGTACCATCTTGCGTCTCATACTAAGATTGGGGGCTTTGGGAGATGATTAGAGCCAAATGAATTGGATTAGTACACCCTTTTAAAGAGGCTTCATAGAGCTTGTTTTCCACTATGTGAGGCTACCCTGAGAGGATGTCAGTCTGTATAAGAAGAGGGCTCTCACTAGATATAACTCAGCTGGCCCTATGATCTTGGACTTCCCAACTTCCAAAACTGCAGTGATGGTTACTTTATAAAAATGACCAGGGAAGCCCATGATGAGAAAATTTTGAGTAGAGACCTGAACAATGTCAAGGACAGAATCACTGTATATGTATACATGGTTGTAGACTAGGAAGGTAGAGAGAAATATGTAAATATTTTTATACTTTGGGTCAATGTGATTGAAGGTAAATCCTTTTAAGTTTCTGTTTGTGACTACAGCACATTATTAATAAAAAAAATTGGGAGACTGAAGGGTGTACTTTAATTAATGATATTGAAATATTTTTCAAGTTCTATTTTGAAAGGTCATCTCCTCTCTCTCTGCCAAAAAGTATGTTAGTGAAGTTCTGAATCTAAAGTATAATTTAAAAATTTTCTTTAAATTATTTTTGCTGATAATTTGGACTCAGACACTATATATTTAAGGCAAAATTGGGCATAAAAATTGGTAGTTTAACATTCATCTAAGTTTAAAAGTATTTCCATATACAATACATTTTAATAAAATATTTGGTAAAATTCTTTGTTATGACTTACAAAAAGTAAAAAAGAAATTACAAAATGGCAGCTCTAAGTCCTCCTAAGGCACAATCACTATTTTATATTCTGCAAATGTAATATATAAAAGTCAGTATACATATACACTCCCCAGTATTTAAATGGCAATTACTGGGAACAATTTAGGTGGCCAAAATAATTTTATACTGATTACATTTATAATTCACAGAAGGATGACTCCATTCAGTCTAGAAACCTCAGTTCAAGCATCTGTCCTGTGAAGCCCTCCCCTCTGCTCCCTCATCAGATTCCTCTGTGTACAATCCACTCATCATCTTCTCTGCCTCTACAGAACCTGTTCCACACTCCATTCCTACTGGTAGACCATGTGAGACCTGTTTGCCTCTTTATTACTTCCACCTTCCATCAGAAAACTGAGAAAATTTGTTTTATGCATCTTAATTTTCCATTCTTAACACAGCACTTAACATTCATACATTGATTGGACAGATATTTTTTAATCAATTTTGTGAAATTACAGTATTAAATTCAGCAAGATTAACCTTGTTCTGGACTAGGACTAGACTAGCTTGTTCACAACCCAGCAAGGGAGAAAATACACACATGAACTCTTAGTGTGCCAGTGAGATTCATGCCCTCATGAATGTGCATAACAGGTAGTGCAGTGATTAACTTTGGCTGAAGTTGCATTTCTGAGGAAGTAACTCTTGAGCCAAGTTGTTCAACAAGAATTAGGTGTTAACTCTGTTGGTGATGTGTTAGATGACTGGAGAATACAAAATGGAACAGAAAGGGCACTTATCTCCTCTCTGAAGATTTATAACCTTGAATTAATAGTTTGAGTGAGAATGACACAGGTAGTCAATAAGGGTAGCAAGGTTGGTGGCCAGTTTGCTAAACTGTTAAAATACTGAATTCTTCCATACCAGTGGTAAATAGCAGCTCTTCCATGCACCTCTCCATTTACTCCTTATTCTACATTCTCTTGATATCCTTGATCCACAACCCTCAGACTTATTGTGCACTAGCGACTAAAATGTCAAAACCCCTATGCACTTAATATGTTACATATAATCTCGGGGAATACACTTCACCAAGGAGGGAGATTATAAAACATGAAATAAATGTGAGTATTCAATAAACTGCAGTTAAAGGTCAGACCCTGAGGTTCAAGCTGGGGAACAAAGGAAATAGAATTAAAGAATTGAGAAGGGCAATGAACATTCATTGTAAGATTTTTAAGCAGATCTGCTTTCAAAAACAACAATTCTAGCCAGGTACAGTGGCATATGCCTCTAATTCTAGCAGCTCAGGAGGCTGAGGCAGGAAGATTGAGAGTTGAAACTCAGGCTTAGCAATTTAGCAAGACCCTAAGTAATTCATCGAGACCCTGTCTCTAAATAAAATATAAAAAAGGGGCCAAGGGATTTGGCTCAGTGGTTAAGTGCCCCTGGGTTCAATTCCTCCTACAAAGAAACCAAAAAACAAAACAATAAAACCAATTTTGACCACTTTAGTATATAAGGGCCAGAAGATCTTTATTGGATTGAGCTATCCTGATGCTAATAAATTATTAGTAGAAACATATGTTCTTACTATGTTTCTGTGTGTGTGTGTGTGTGTGTGTGTGTGTGTGTGTGTGTGAACACATGTATTTCTATTGCTCTTTCTTTTCTGCCTGCTAATGAGACATTAGTATCCACATTTGCAAGATGGCTAGTCATTATTTGGGATCTTGTCTGCTGATAACACTGAAGAAAATGAGTCCAGATGAACAGAGGGAATTGATCCAGAGACTCTGTTTTAATCAGCACAAACCTCCAGCCAACAAGAAGGAAAAGGGAAAAAAGGCTTTATAAATCCTACAGACTTTGTGGGGAATTTGTCTCCTTATTTGTACAAATTACAGAATCTGTTATTCTACTACTACTCCCTTTTGCAAGTGGTGATTTCAGTATTATAGATAGGACACTGAGAAATCATTTGGGGAAAAATCAAACTCAGCTGATCTAGAGTGATTTTCTTATTTCACTGAGAACATTTCATTAAAAAGTGACTGAATGCTGATAAATGAGTTTCTTCATCATTTTGATCAGGCATGAGATCATGCAGAAGTTTTGAATTTAAAAGGGACAATGGAAAAGGCTTGATTGTTTTAAAGTATTGATAGAATTGGTTTTCCATTATTTAATTCCTTACTTGCATAAAAGACAATATGTTCCTCATTAATGGATGTCTGGTTAAGTGATAATTAAATACCAAAACAAGATCTGAACAATTCATTGTTTTATTTTAACATCACTGTTCACTGCCAGTTTATCTGGCAATCACTGCACTGTAGACACTAACAATTACAATGTAATTCCTATTATTATATGTATGTCTTTTCATGTTCTTTCTTAACAGTAAATGATAAATTATTGTCATTGAATATTAATTTTCAAAATCTTTCAGCGGCAGGGACAAAATCAAAACCCAATCAACAGAATAAGTATGTACAACAAGAAATCAAGGTTACCTCCTTTAAGACATAGATGCAATATTTTCATATTCCTAAAAGATCTGCATTTGGGGGGGGGAAATAAACAATATAGTACTAAAATTTAACACAGAATCTGGTGTTGTTTAATACTGTTTAATATTTTAAAACTTTAAGAATACAGATCACCTTAATGTGGACATTGTTTCTTGTATTCATATTCATATTTATATTCATATTCATATTGTAGGGAGATTTCCCCTTTTGGGGTGCTCCCCTCCCACTATAATTGTCTTCTCAAAGTGGGCAGTCCGGAGGAACCATGCAGTCATTCCTCTTCACTCTTAACCAGTATGCGCTCTGGAGGAAGAACGGATTCCAATTTCTGCCAGCGTTCTGGAGGCCACAGGATATGAGTAGCATGAGCATGCAGAAGTCCCAGGGAAACCTGAGTCCATGAAAACACAAAGAAAGCAACAAAGAAAACATTTTATAAAGGTCATCATCAATATCTTGAGAGCAGAATTTGATCCACGTCTGGCATTCCATAGAAAGATGCTAATAAAATAGTCAACACTTACATAGATAGCATTTTCCCAGGTGTCTTATGTATATAAACTCCTTCCATACTTGCAACAACCATTTTTTGTAGGTAGTTTATTATTTACACTTTATAGATCAGGAAAAAAAATGTCCAGAGAGATTAAGAAATCTGTCAAAAGTCACATACTATCAATTGCTGGAATCTGGCTCCAGTACCAGGCAGGACAGGTTGCAACTCTAACGGGTACCCTCAAGAACCTGTCTCTATAGACTCAGGAAGCATAAATAGTTTATAATCTCAGAATTTCTTACAGAGTTCATGTATCTGAATTTCATTTTGAAAAAAATCATACAGACTTGAAAAATTCAGATTTTGTGAAAAGTATTGTGCTAATATTGTATGAGCTTCAAGTTAGGTGTGAATCCCTGGTAGCCTGCCTTGGTGGGAGACCACACTGAGCAACAGGGAACCAGCATTCCCGGAGACAGTAAAACCTAAGGGCAAGCCGGCAAGCCAAACAGGGTGGAACAGGAAGCTAAGGAAAGTATGAAGATCATGGCAGATGGTCAAGAAGCCCATCAGCAGAGATGAGCAGTGATCTGCCAGGAGGGAAGAGGAGGCAAGGGGAAAAAACTCTTCCTGGAGGAAGTAAGGCTGAGCCCAGAGGCAGAAAGGGAACCTTAAACATCATAATCTCCCTAAAGACATTAACTCAATGAGCTGGAGAAGATGGCATAGTTGTTTAAAATACAGATCAGGGCCATAGCCTCAGAGATCACCTGCCAGGGGGTCTGAGGTAAGGCTAGAAATCCATGTCATTTGTTGTTGTTATTATTGTTACTACTGWGGAATATCTGAATGGTTCTTGAAGACATTCATACTTAGGACATAGTTTTTGAATGCCAGCTACAAATCATGTATTATATGTCCAATTCATTTACTAATTTATTTTCAAATGTTTTCCCTATTGACTGTCTACAGAGATTAGCACAGAATTGTTGGTGATACAGTGGATAGAACCCACAGGTGCTTTACCACTGAGCTATACCCTCAGCACTTTTCATTTCTACTTTCGGACAGAGTGTTGCTAAGTTTTTAATGTTGACCTTGAACTTTTAATCCTCCTGCTTCAGCCTCCTGAGTCGATGGGATTACAGATATATACCACTACCCCAGGCTAAGATGTTTACTATTAATACCATATTACTTGTTATATAGTCCACGTTCAAAATTTTCCAATTGTTCCAATAGTATCTTTTCTATCTATTTTATTTTTAAAATTTGGGATCTAATCAAGGATGACAAATTACATTTAGTGGCCATTATTTGCTTCCAATTATATTTTGTTTACTTTAACCTGAAGTCCAGGACAGTTACCTTACAAAATGTCCAACATCTAGCATTGCCTGATGTTTTTTCTCTCTAGCATTGTCTGATTTTTTTTTTCCTCTCATAAATAGATGCAAGTTAAAACATTTTGGCGAGATTAAAATACAGTTGATAATGTGTTCTTCCCACTCTATCACACTGGGAGACAACAATATCAGCTTTTCCCATTGTTTTAATGTTAAGTTTGATAGCTTAATTAAGATGATGGTGACCAGATTTCTCCATTACAAACACATATTTTCCCTTTTGTAATTAATAAGTAATATATGGGATATTTTGAAACAGGATAAATATTCTGTATGTCAACAACATTACATCTAATGACTTTACCATCCCTTAACAATCCTGCCTTAATTACTTAATTAATTGTACTTCAAGTCTTGCTTTTTTCAAGTTCTTAAACTTTTTCACAAGGGTGCTTTGCCAATTTTTTTAACTTCACTGAACTCTTGCCAATATATTTGTTTGCTTGCTTGCTTTAGTTTTGGAGTTCAGTTTTGGACACAGTCATTCAACTCTGGGTTTTTTAATCAACACTCATTTTACTGAAACTAATCTTAGGATTCTTTAATTTCAAATTTATTAAAGATACTATTCTCAAATCATGAGAAAAATTAATCTTCACAATTATGAATAATAATGGTGAAAAATATATATCAATGAATAATACCAAAATTGCTTAAAATCATGATATGGGAATGCAAAATTCAGGGTTTAAAAAAATATTTTAAAATAGTATTTTTTATGTATGTGTGTGTGTGTGTGTTTGTGTGTGCACAGATATCTATACATGTTATATATAAAAAGCCTATTCATTTTCCTGATTGTGTGGACATGGGTCTTTATTTTTTGTTGGTATGTCTATAGACATGCAGAAAGCATAGTGAATATAGAAGAATATAAAAATCCAGTAATACCAGAACGTTTTCAAAATCAAAAGCTATGTTTTGAATAAAGTTATGCTTTGGCCTCCACATCTGGTATATTAGGATTCTCCAGAGAAATAAAACAGGAAATATAATATAAGGATATTTATTTTAGGGAATTAGCACACCTCATTGTGGAGGTTTAGCAAGTCCAAAATCTAGCAGGGGCAACTGTTAGAAGACTGGGGAAAACGTTGTAGTTTAAATTCAAAGGTAGTCTTCTGGTGAATCAGGAAGCGTTAATATTGTAGATGAGGTATAAGGCATCTGTTGGCTCTTTCCCTCTGAATGGGGTGGCAGGCAGGGGCAGGTGAACCTATTGCTCTACTCAGGCATTCAACTGATTGGAGGAGGCCCACCAAAATCATTGGATAATCTGCATTATTCATAGCCAACTGATTTAAATATAAATCTCATCCTGAAGCACACTCACAGAAACACCCAGAATAATGTTAAACCAAATATCTGGGCACTGCAGCCCAGCCAAATTGACATATGAGATTAACCATTCTGCCTGGGAAATGGAATCCTCTTCCTCCTACTCCTCTTTAATTCACATAGTTTAACCACACATACCAACTCATTTAATTTTCACAATAACTGCTGAGTAGGTACAATTATCACCTCTACTTCATTGTTGAGGAAACCTAGATACAGCAATATGGTTTTTGAACTGAGACTCAAACACATAAACTCTGGTTCCAGAGCATCTGTATCACAATTTATCATCCAAATAAGATACATTTGATAGTCAACAGGAGCATTATTTTAATTAGGTCAGGATACTAAGTGGAAAATGGGCTGGTCAAATCAGGATGTATAGTTGCCTTACTTGATGCTTCTTGATCTTGCTAGGTCCCACTTCATTTCCTAAGAAATTTATCAAAACTAATTGAAAGTCTATTATTATGAGCCCAACTTTGTCCTCCAAATTTATATGTTGACATCTTAACAGTATCTGAGAATGCAACTACATTTGGAGATATGCTCTATAATGAGTGATTAAGTTAAAATAAGACCCTACCTGACTTGACTTGTGTTCTTATAATAGATTAGGATACTCATAGAGACACCAGGCATGCATGCACACAGAGCACGTGAGAACACAGCAAAAAGGAGACTATCTGTAAGTCCAGAAGAGAGACCTGAGAAGAAACCAGACCTGTTGATTCTTGGATCTAGGACTTCCAGCTCCTAAACTATCAGAAAATAGATGGTTGTTTAAGCAACTCATCTATGATGATGTAGCTATGACAGCCCTTGCAAATTAATATACACATGAAACAAAAAAAGGAACATCAAGCTAGAATTAAGGTTCATAGTATGTCCCAATCTTCACTCAAAATATGGATAAAAGAAAAGAAATGGTTTCTGTATTAAAGAGAGATAATTGAGCACATACAACTCTTCCAATAAGTTAAATACTTCAACTACTATAGTTTGGCTTTTAAAAAGGCCTAGGCATAAAAGGTTTGTTCTACAGTCTGTGGCTCTATTGAGTGGTGGTAAAACCTTTAAAAGGAGGGGTCTAGTGAGAGTTCTTCTGGTCATTGGAGGTGTACCCATGAAGATCTTAGAATGCCAGCCCTTTCCCCACCCTGTCTTTTGCATCCCAAATAGTGCACAGTTTTGTTGTGTACTATTGTCATGATATACTGCCCTACCATAGGCCCCAAATCAACAGGGCCTACCAAGCCTCCAAAACTGGGGGCCAAAATAAACTTTTTTTAATAAGCCAATCATTTCAGGTATTTGTTTTAGTAACAGAATACAGATTAATGAATCAACAATATAACATCTTATTGGAAGTTGGTTCTCTTCTCCTTACTTATTTGTGTCCCGTGTATAACTGTGTCTCTTTAAATGGATTTAGAATATTTTCAGACAATAAGAATCTACTTTTATAATAAATATTAAACTACAACACAAAAACATCAAGAGAACCATTGTAAACCTTTAGTAGATCTACTGAATGAGAAACACCTCCATCTGCCTGTATTAATGGACCTCTTACATACCTCTGTTGTCCCTAGGGGACCTTGCATATTGGTAAGCAGTGATATAGAATAGTAGCCACCACATTGTTTTGGTTGTGTACCTCATCAGCAAAATTTTTAGAATTCACTTTCATTATTTATATTTTAAAATTATATATAATTAGAAATCCATAAAATCAAACATTAGCAAAGCTCAAATGTTGAGAGCCACAGTTTAGTCAGAATGACGCCTGGCATTAGAGGGAATGGTTGAAAGGTGACCCTGCTCCGGGATTAGGGCGGATCCTGCTGCCTTGGGTGCCCACCACTTTGGAGTTCCCATTGAGTTCTTTCGGGGATTCGGAGAGAATTGCCGCGCTGAGCCGGGGAGAGGGAATGTGTTCCCGGGAAGTGTGTGTAGAGTCTGGTGAGAGTTCAGGAATAAAGAGTTGCTATTTGAACCTACAAGGCTTTGTGGCAGCTCGGTTATTTTGTGCCCAGTCACACTGCGGCACTCAAATTCTAAATTTTAGATACAAACAGATGTTTTAATTATTTCTTGCATTCAGAGTATCATTATCACATCACCGGGATGTTCATATCCCTACTTTAG